AAAAGTCAGAAACGTTATAAGCGTGGTGTGGTGTACAGATTATAATATTATAAAATTAAATTATTTTCATTGGAAAAACTTCTATATTATAATTAAGATCAACAAATTCCGCGACATTTCAATACGGAGAATGTGAAGGGCGCTCGTTAAAAAGTTTTGCGGCTGGGTCGCGCCTGACTCTGACACAAAGGAGAGGTGAGACTTTGTATACAGGCTGTTCGGAAAGTCAGAAATAATAAAAAAAACCGTATTAAATATTCATGGAGTACACATTTTTTTAATTTTGATTTTATTGTATAATACGAATTTGAAAATGTTAATATTGTTATTTAAATATTTAATAATTAAATAAAATATTATTTAATTATTTTTCGAAGCGAATACTCACAGTGAGTCACTTATTTTAAAATAAGTGTAATGTGAACCTTTTCAGTTAATTATTTAGGTTGTTGTTACCAGGGGTGCCAGATCGTATAATTGGATACGAAGATTGTAAAATATGAATATTTTATGTATATTTCATTTTAAGTTATTACGTATTTTTATTGAATTTTTTTTTATTCATCACAGACTATTTCTCAACAGTTTTGTTAATTTTTATAGTAAAATTTGATTTGGTATAATTTAAGTGACCCAGCGGTATAAAATAATTTGGCTCTACTGGCAGCAGTTATCTCTGCTGACAGCCCTAGTTGTTACGTAAGCTAATTTTAAATCTGTATCACTATTATATTTTTTTACGTTTAGTGTTTTTAAATTCAAAGAAAAACAAACGTGATAGACAAACAGACACACAAAGAAGTGAGGCTATAAGAATTCCTCATTGGTTCATTTGAAAGAGCAGTACACTAAATATTATGGCAAGTTATTTTAGTTTCCAACATCCTATATCACTTACTAGGTAACCTCAAGAGCGCGTGTTTTGTCTCTAAGCTAAATCTTTGTTCGCGATGATCCCCCTTCCTGTCATGTGCTACATCAAACGCTTCCAAAAGTGAATCTATTGTTATGTTTTACTTCTAATGACTCGGCGAAGTTTTCTTGAGGGTATTTAAAGTTACAATTAAGTGTAAGGCTCTTTTACATAGGGTGTCACAATAATTGCCTTACTCTTAGCTATATTTAATTTATGTAAAAGCTTTTATCTCGACGTATTATCAATCTATCTGCAAAATTATAATTTTTAACCTATTTATTATACATTTTATTTTAAGATAGCTGCAACAAAAATTAAAACTATTTATTAAATTAAAACAATTCCACTCAGATATTGTTTGTTTGAACCGTTTGTTTATTGTTAACTTGTCCATCAATTGTCCATTTATTAAATAAAACTGTCTTACCTATTTTCATATAGACATTTTAAATATGAACAGCAATTTTAGGGTAAAATCATTACCGTAAATACTCAAAAAGCTCTATAAATATAGTCAGTTAATCATAAAGCAAGGGCATCACTTCCATTCGTCATTTTTTATCAGCAAAAAGGTACCGATATATGAGTGGATCCTGCCCTACGGCCTCTAAGACAACTATTTATAAGGAAAAACCACATAAATCATATTATTTTTTATCCAGCAATCTTTAAGGTGGGGTAAATATCCAAGGTGTATCACATTTGACGGTTTTATGGCTTTGTTGTTATTGATGGTATGGGGTGTTGATTATCTGAAAGTATTTTGGTAGAACAATTTAAATTCTGCCATAAAAAATGAATGATTTGTCATAAAAATATTATAACAGCAGAATATTAAGGGGTCACAATTTTTAAGACTACGAGTGTTTTAGAATGCAAGTAATGATTTGGAAATATTGTTTACTGACTCACTTTTTATAATATGTTTATATCATTAACTGCCTCGTTGGTGTAGTGGCTAGCATGTACGGCTGCACATCCGGAGGTCCTGGGTTCGAGTCCCGGGTCGGGCCAAGTTTAGTTATTGAGTCTTTCTGTATAGTTAGTCTCAGTAACAGCCCGGAGTTGGGAAGTTGGCGGTGTTTCACCCCCGTGCCTCGGAGAGCACGTAAAGCTGTCGGTCCTGCGCCTTAACTCTCACCGGTCGTGTCGAGTAGTCGTCCCACCGGAGTATGAGAGTGATAGGAATAGAGAGTGCACTTGTGTCTGCGCGTACACTTGAGCTGACTATAATATCTCCTGCGCAGTTGGTTAGTCTCAATGAGATTGGCCGCCGTAGCCGGAATCGGCTAGGAGAACATCATCATTATATTATTTATATTAAATCATAACACAATTGTTTTTTATATTATCAGATGCATTATACATAAAGATTTTTGGCAAAAAAATAATAATATATAGTACTGCAGAAGAATATAAATAAATCAAACATCCCTATACATTTTTAACGAGTATGGCTATGAACCATAATTTTATAATAACAATTATGATATTAAAGCCAGCTTATATAAATACAAATCAAATATAAATCATATCGTCTAAGCACTATATTAAGCAATTTAATTACTAATTAAATAACATATAAACATAAATTATATAAAAATAATAAGAAGAGTTTACTTAAAACATATTCCATAGACAAATTCCAAATCCTACCCCACTCTCACCTCATTACCACACGAGGCAGATAAAACAAAGACCCCCAACTCGTACACAATTCACAAAGCCACTTGATGCCCGCAATTAAAATCTTAACATATACTGTTAATAAACGCCACCTTGCTAGTGATGGGCTCGATATAATATCGATAAAATTTATTTTGTGTATTTTGCGTTTTTCGTATGACAAAAGATATAAGGAAGTGTCATAGGATACTTTTCATTGTGATGAAGTAAGCGTTAATCAAGTGATAGACATACACACTAATTACGTACTAAGTATGACCTAATTAAGATCTATAGAAAACAAAGACCATAATAATTATAACCAAGTCTAGACGCCCAATAATAAAAAAACGCTTATATTTCAGGCCTCAAGTAGTATAAAGCAATTAAAAAAAACTTCCGAGTTCTAAGATAAACGTCATTATTACGTATTTATCTATTACGGTCATAGAAGAAATTCCTTAGTGAATTTAATCTGCGCAAGAGATTTTATAATGCACACATAACAAAAGATGAGAAATGAGAGTAGGTATTCACTGGTATACATCATAACTACTCTATTTTCCCATATATTTTTTTGATATGCAAAGAGACGCCCAAGGTACAGATTATAAAAAATCGAGGTTTTACATTTTACTGAGAATTTCTTAATAATTATTATGGCATTCAATAATTATTATAGCTCGGGACACGAAGAATTAGCATGCACTTTGACCTAAACTTATAGTTAAATTAACGTCACTAGATCAAAAATACTTGTAAGCGACGCATTATAAAAAAAAATATTATATTTGTATATTTTATTTTGTTATGTTTGTAGTAAGTATAAAAATGTTATTAAAGTTATGGTAAACGGTTTGTAAGCGACGTATTATAAAAAGTATTATATTTGTATATTTTATTTTGTTATGTTTTTTAGTAAGTATAAAAATGTTATTAAAGTTATGGTAAACGGTTTGAATGAGTGTGAACGATATGGACATGCTAAGGGGGACGCGGGCGCAGGGGGGGAACCGATTACGTTAGTTTTCGCGAGAGCGCGCCACCTTTACTTTGTACTCATCACGAGCCACGAGCCGACTAGATCTAAAATTCGACTTTTCTTTTACCTGCGTTATAAAGTGGTCCTTCGAGCCGGATTATACTGTTATATCTATGTTCACCACACCTCCATCATCTACAATGGTCAACACGCGAAGTACAGTGCGTAAAGAACGCGAAATGTCGAAACATATGGAAAGCGTCGACCAGCCAACCGTCAACTTATCAGCCAAACGTGCAGACAGCTGAAGAGTCTGAAAATAATACGTTTGATTAGAAGGAAATTATAAGAAGAAAACCTAGATAATAAAGCATTGTTACCTGAAAAGTGTAAAAAAGTAGATGACACGCCCGTTGAAATACCCACATCAAAAAAAAGTGAATCTAAAAAATCTACATCTTCTCTATAAAGGCTCGAAAAGCTAAGCTGGAATTATAAGCAGCAGAAGCTAAGGCTAAAATACAGATGGAATTAATTGACAAGAGGTTGGCAACCGAGTTAGCAGATTTTAGAAGATGAGCAAGTGAACCTCGAGATAATTACTCACATAGTACGGTGAACAGGTGGTTAGAACGCAGTCAGCAAGAAATGGAAAAGGTGCAGCCAGTCAACGAGCATGGTAATGATTTAGGCGAGCTGCATCACCCAGGGTCAGTTCACCCTGGAACTTCACATGGAACAGTCCAGATGCTGGCTAGTGCACTAAGGGATCTCGCCGCCTCCTCCAACAATACTACTTCTAACGCTAAATTACTGAGCCGCTTAAGCACGCCTCGAGACTTACCTGCTTTCTCCGGCGACCCTATGGAATGGCTGCAGTTTAAACAAGCATATGAAGAGTCAACGGAAGTGTGTAATTTCAGCTCTAAAGAAAACCTGTGGAGAATACGTAAGTGTCTTCGTGGACCCGCCAGGGATGCTGTCGCAGCCCTCTTAATCAGTGCCACGGAACCTGAGAAAATAATGGCTACATTAGAGCTACGATTCGGTAACCCCGACGGCATTGTGATTAAGATTATGCAAGATATTAAAAAACTGTACCCAATTTCACAAGATTATCAGAAGGATATTGTTTCATTCTCAGTAAAAGTACAGAACTTCATAGAAGCCATTAGATCCGTCAAACGCGATGAATATCTACAAGGAAATGAATATAGTGTTTGCTCATTTTGTCTAAAATTACCTACAGTCCTACTCTCAAAATGGTCAGACTATAGTTTTCCCGCTTATCACCGAGGGCAAGAAGTCACGATTGGATATTTTAGCAGATTTCTTACAAGAAGAAGCGGTTGAAAATCTCGACGACATCTAATATTCATCTCATCGGCAATAACTTCAACCGCGTACATAATACGGTGCTAGTGACAACAGACAATCATGACTTTAAGTGTTGTATACTGCCGTGTTTCTAAACATAAGCTAACAGAGTGCAAGCGCTTTAAAAAATCACTACGAAAAGATCGGTGGCGTCACGTTAAACGACACGGCATCTGTTATAAGTGTTTACTATCGCGTCACGATCGAGAAACATGTCCGGCCGCGCCGTGTGATATCGAGAACGGTGGACAGTCGCATCATCGGTTTATTACATTATCCTATAACAAAGATATTCGTTCCCCGGGTAATATAAACATTACGGAAATAACAGAAAGTGCAACAGTGACGAACATTAATTTATCTAACTGTAAAGTGTTTTTGAAAACCGTGCCTATCAATATTCATGGGCCAAACGGTGTAATTAGTGCTACTGCTTTGCTAGACGACGGGTCGACCGTATCGTTAATAGATTATGAACTTGAACTCGGACTAAATGGACATAAACAAATTATGCGTGTGAGTGGTGCATGGAACAATAACTCATTAAAATGTGTTTGTGAGATAGTAGACTTAAGCGTGTCAAACAAAGACGGAACTATGTTTCCTATTCGCGTGAGAAGTGTAAAAGACTTAAACTTACCTGTACATGATTCAACGTCGATTGATCTTACTAACTATGTACATTCTATACCTGACATAAAAAATTGTTTAAATAATGAACTCTGTAAACCTAAAATATTAATTGGCCAAGATAATTATGATTTATTGTTACCGCTTAAAATAATAAAATTAAAAAATAGTAAATTATATGTTACACGTACTGAGCTAGGCTTATGCATTCATGGATGTTTACGCGAACCATCCCCGCTCCACCAGACCCCGCCCATTAAGCGAGTACATCATTCAGCGTTATTCATTACTAACGATTCAGATAAAGAATATGAAAATAAGTTACGAAATTTAGAAGAACAAATACGAATATCATTTACAATCGAATCAATGGGCATCAGCATGAGACCCAGGAAAAATCCGAAGATCTTCAAGCTATACAATTTTAGAAAAACATCTGTACTTAAAAATGGAAGATGGCATGTCGGTTTACCCTGGAAAGATAATACTGTAAACTACAAACTCGTACCCTAACGCAGCGCTCTAAGATTAAAAGGAGTACAGAAGAGACTGAAGACAGATAAAGCTTATGCTAGAAGATACACTGAAAGAATAAACCACTTACTTGAGAACGACTATGCTAAAAAACTTACCTGTCAAGAAGATACCTCGAAACCTGGTACCTTCCGCACTTTGGAGTCGATAACCCTATAATAAAGAAATTACGTCTAGTTTTCGACGCCCGCTGCAAAGACCTGTGGAGTTTCGTTAAATGACTACCTCTTGAAGGGTCCCGACCTACTTATGGCATTATTTGGCATCATGTTGAGATTTCGAGAGAAATAAAATAGGCATAACCGGAGATATACGAGATATGTATTTAAGAATAAAAATTTTACCTAAAGATCAAGATGCTTAAGATTTCTCTGGAGGGACAACCAAGAACAAAATGGCCCTATTGATATATACCACTATGACCGTCTTTAATTTTTGGTGCTAATTGCTCGCCCTTTATTGCTCAATTTATAAAAAATAAAAATGCAAAGCAGTATGAGTCATTATACCCGGCCGCCGTGGACGCTATTCATAAGCAACACTATATGGATGACTATATAGATAGTATAGAAAATGAAGCTACGGCTATTAAAACTATACAAGATATTATAATATATACATAAAAAAGGTGGCTTCGAGATAAGAAACATAACGAGTAACAACGAAGCGGTATTAAACTGCATCCACAAGAGACCTTAGGACGGACTGCAGTAAGGTTCAAAATTGAACAGCCAAATGAGGGCGAACGTACACTTGGATTGATTTGGTATCCGAAAGAAGATCTGTTGTCTTTTGACGTTTCTTTTAAGAAGATTCCTGTAGATATAATAACAGGCGACACGCGACCTAGCAAGAGACAGATGCTTAAAGTTTTAATGTCAATTTTCGATATATTTGGATTTCTTTCGCCTTTTACAATCAAAGGAAAAATTATGTTACAAGACGTATGGAGATTACAATTAGATTGGGATGAAAAAATACCTGATACTATTTATGAAAAATGGATTGAATGGCTACAATCGCCACCAAGGAGACTTGTGATTTATCTGTGTTAAAGAATGAGTGGTTTTATGGTCCGGCGTTTCTTCGTGATCGAGATACTGAATGGCCAGTAGACACACAGCTACCGGAGACGCCCCATCTGGATCTCGAATATACTATGACCATGCAAACATACAATAAATCCTTACCAGCTGTTCCTGATCCTGAAAGGTTTTCATCTTGGTTACATCTATTGAATTCAACCTGTAAAGTACTTACCTTTATTAATAAATGCAAGAAACTGGATACTAGCGTTGATGGATACACAAGGGCGGCTGCTGAGCGATGGCTAATAAAATACTCTCAGCTACAGTCCTTCCCTGGGGATATAGCCAACCTGGAAAATAAAAAAGAAATAGATAAAAAAAGTAGATTACTTACCTTATCCCCTTTTCTGAATGAGCACGGAATCCTATGCGTGGGAGGCCGTATAAATGCAGCTACCGAGGTTCCTCTGCATCTGAAACAACCTGTTATATTAGATGGACGTCATCACGTTGCCCGGCTTATTGCACGATATTACCACGTGAGAGCGGCGCACGGTCACAATGAAGCTGTTGTTAATGAACTGAAACAGAAATATTGGATATTAAAATTAAGACCGACAGTAAGAAGAGTGGCTTCACAGTGTATGTTTTGTAGAATAAGAAAAGCACAACCGTGCCCACCCAGAATGGGTGATTTACCTGCGGCCAGAATGGCGTCCAGTCCCTTTCACACATTGTGGTATAGACCTATTTGGACCAATGGAAATTACTGTAATAAGACGCAGAGAGAAAAGATATGGTGTATTATTTACATGCCTTACCGTAAGAGCTATTCATATAGAACTAGTACCTTCGTTGACCACGGGACTCCTTGATCATGGCCCTCAGACGCATGGCTGCTCGTCGAGCTGGCCTCAATTATTTACTCAGATAACGGTACGAATTTAAGAGGTGCCGATAACGAGCTGAAAAAGGCAACGCTCGACTTGGATGAACATATATTAAAAGCTGAGGCCGTCAACTATGGAACTACATGGACCTTCATTCCTCCAGCTAGTCCTCACTGGGGTGGAGCTTGGGAGCGCCTCATTCGTTCTGTAAAAGACTCATTAAAAGTTGTCTTAAGAGAAAGGGCGCCGCGTGAAGAAACCTTAATAACGTTAATGACTGAGGTTGAGCAAATAGTTAACAGTCGACCCCTTACACATGTGACGGTTGAGCCCAATAGTAATGAAACAATAACCCCTAATCATTTTTTGTTAGGTTCATCATCCAATCTACCTATTGTAGGTGTCTTTGATGATTGTGACTTATATTTACGAAAACAGTGGAGACTAACACAGAGGTTAGCTGACATGTTTTGGAGGCGCTGGGTGAGAGAAGTGCTACCTACTATGCTGCCCAGGCAGAAGTGGAACCGCGACACAGAACCATTAAGAGTCGGGGACTTAGTATTAATCGCTGACCCCGAAAGCCCTAGAAATACCTGGCCCAAGGGCATCATACAAAGAGTAATCCCCGGAAAGGATGGCCGGGTACGAGTGGTTGAAGTAAAAACCAAAACCAGCTTGCTACAACGTTCGGCAGCACGCGTCGCTAAAGTACCTATGGATGTTGAGTGCTGATGTAGCACTGGGGTGGAGATATTGTAAGCGACGCATTATAAAAAAAAATATTATATTTGTATATTTTATTTTGTTATGTTTGTAGTAAGTATAAAAATGTTATTAAAGTTATGGTAAACGGTTTGTAAGCGACGTATTATAAAAAGTATTATATTTGTATATTTTATTTTGTTATGTTTTTTAGTAAGTATAAAAATGTTATTAAAGTTATGGTAAACGGTTTGTAATGAGTGTGAACGATATGGATGCTAAGGGGACGCGGGCGCAGGGGGGGAACCGATTACGTTAGTTTTCGCGAGAGCGCGCCACCTTTACTTTGTACTCATCACGAGCCGCGAGCCGACTAGATCTAAAATTCGACTTTTCTTTTACCTGCGTTATAATACTAATAATAAATTGTAAATATTTTACCTATTTTTTTTTTATTTACTCCGTTATTTACAAAAAAGAAAAAAAAGAAACATAATTTCATAGTAACCATAGCATAATATCGATAAAAAGCAAGTCACTATTCTAAGAATCGTTAAGAGAGAGGTACGTCTTTGAATTAAATTACACCTCGCTAACTCCAAACAATAATCTTTAACATTTGCGTCATTGCTTCACCCCCGTCCGTCCCATACTGTCAAAACTAAGCAGGGTGTGGTAGAAGTGATACAATTTGAAAGGAGTAATTAATATTTCTTATATATTATACTTCTTAATAATCAAAAGTTATCAAGCAAGATATTTGTCTGATGAGCATTGTCTAATACGCTAGTTGTCGCACGTTTGATTCTTGTACAGAATTAATACTGACCAGAGAAATGTTTTAATCAGATTGAATGTTAGGAAACAATGGATAAATAAATTAATTTGCACAAGTTTACTTGTCGTATTGTTTTCTATAATATTATCAATTCGATGCTAATTTTTAAAAGAAAAGAATGTAAAGGCTTAATTTAAATAACTAAGTACTTCACAAATTAAAATCAATATCTTTTTTAAATAATAAATCGCTAACCCTATGGATACGCTATAACTGCGCACACACTTTAAGTCGTTTATGGCGATATATAAGACGTCTTGGCGACTACAGATAAGTGGTAACGAGTTTTACACAGTATAGGTATTTGTTGCATTATGATAGCGTGGGTCCATGTAGCTCCTTCAAATCTGCAATTTGTATATCACTTGAAGAAATCGAGCTTTATACAAATAATAACTTAAATAGTATCATATTATTTAAGCTATTTAACAATAAAGTCAAGTTTTATTAGTCATATTAATAAGTGAAAGCTTAATTTAAAATGCTTTTAAAACAAAGATTAAACATTAATAATACTTACCGTTATCACGACCTTTAAAATCTGAAGTTTTTAACTATTTTGTTTTTAAAGTTATTTTCGCTTATTAGTTTCGCTTATTTTAATGAAAATAAAATCGCTCCATGTTTTCTTTTAAAGAAAAGTAGGTGAAAGTGAAAATAATATTAGAAAAGAATAAACGCATAATTAAATTCCCGTAAATATTAAAATTTACAATACTCTATCCAAAATCTAAATTAAAGTGGTAATTTTAAGATTATAGTATCTTTAACAGAACATGAATTATAGCCTGTATTATTAGAACTTGTGTTCGCCCAATGGCCGAAATTTAGTTTCGACATTATCTATACTAATATTACAAAGAGGTAAAGTTAGTGAATTGTAAGTTTGTGAGTTTGTGACGTTGTCGGGGGTAATCCCTGGATCTACTGAACCGATTTAGATGAAATTTGGTAAAAAAATACTTTGAGACCCTAGAAAGGACATAGGATACTTTTTTTCCCGAAAATCATCCATTAAAACGATGAAAATGGGGATGAAAGTTTGCATGGGTAATTAACCTAGGGACAAACCCGAGCGAAGCGAGGGTCAGTCGCTAGCATAAAATAAAAAAACTGTTTTTTTTTGATAACACTTGAACTCATCTATAGCTATGAATAAAAAAAAATCGGTGGACAAACAGAGGACAAAATGTACTGAAATGTTTTGTCTTTGCCTGTTTATATATGTATATATTTCGTACAGCTAAGTTTAATTGATACATTATGTTTGTTTATCCTCATTTGCCTTAGACCCGACCTGTAACCCGTCCGCAAAGGGACGCTTAATTACCCAATCACTTACCTTACTTATGTACATAGAAACAGTTTAACCAAGTCATGTTTCACTTTAAACACTAATTTAAATAACAATAAGAATAATTAGTATATTTCACTATTGTATAAAATATAGGTGCACAAGTATTTTTAAATTGTCTCGTCATCTAGCGTTTACAATTTCTAAGGAGTTATATTTTTTAATTTAAAAAGATTAGATAGCTATTTTTAATTAAAAAAAATCTAAGAAAATATGAATCCATAGAAAAGCATATTACTGACTTAAAATGATGTTCTGCTGAGAAGTACCAGCTTTGAACTCAATAATTACACTTTTAACATACAGTGACTAATTATTATTTGATAATGATGATGTTCTCCTAGTCGATCACTATTTGATAATGATGATGATGATGTTCTCCTAGTCGATTCCGGCCACGGCGGCCAATCTCAATGAGACTAGCCAACTGCGCAGGAGATATTATAGTGCACAATTGTACGCGCAGACACAAGTGCACTCTCTATTCCTGACACTCTTATACTCCGGTGGGACGACTGCTCGACACGACCAGTGAGAGTTAAGGCATTACACTGCCTCAGTGGTGTAGTGGCTAGCATGTACGGCTGCACATCCGGAGGTCCTGGGTTCGAGTCCCGGATTGGGCCAAGTTTAGTTATTGAATCTTTCTGTATAGTAAGTCTCAGTAACAGCCCGGAGTTGGGAAGTTAGCGGTGTTCCACCCCCGTGCCTTGGAGAGCACGTAAAGCCGTCGGTCCTGCGCCTTAACGCTTATTTGATAATAATATATAATTAAAAGAGATAAGACCACTTATGTTAATACCAACACTGTATAACAAAAATTTTTTCGACTGAAATGATACGGTTTCATAAGAATTCTACTCTATAGTCAAATTAACGACCTCCTTAAAAAAAAATTCGCAATTTTCTTATGCTAAGTTTACCGACTACGTTATACTACTATTTTTAACTGAAATCAACAAAATGATATTATATTTTGGTCTTAAACATATCATTCCTTGAAGTGGTCATTCAAAACGTTTGACAGAAACCCAAATGGCACATCCTACTCGCAATAGGTTTCTAAATTGGCCAAATAATTCGAATAGGTCCCAAGATCTTAATTATTAGTGAAGTGCTTAAGGGTTGAATTTACGACGTGTTAATACCGCCTGATACTGTGGCAATTAACCTAGCTGTAAATTGAATTTACCTGAGGGATAGAGTTTCGAAACAATGTGCTACTCAATATAGATAATGTGCGTATCATTTAATAATGTGTAGTATTATTAGCATTATAATAAACGACTTAATAAGATAGTTACTTTACGAAAAGTGATTTATATTATACTTGATAATGATAGTGGTGATGATAATGATGGTGATGATGATGGTGGTAATGACAAAGATATTGGTGATAGTGATAGCATTCACAATTACAATATAAATCAAACAATATAAAGTGGTACAGGGTTCACAAAACCTTCCTTTCTTATGATTCTATCTAGTTTGCTTACCGTAGTGGACTGAGTGCCTTTCTCTCTTCTAGAGGTTGCAGGTTCAAATTTCGCAGGGAAAAATAATAAACATTTTCTATTAAACATTTAAAGCTTTATTGCAGTCTAGGAAGTACTTTTTATCTGTATACTTCGTGCAATAAGAGGCATAGTGATGTATATTGCAATAATTCACAACAAAATAGACTTATTTAAATAGATTTTGACAAGCAGTTTTTACGCAATTAAAACAATATTAGATTTAAATTTCCTCATCATTAATAATAATAGAATTTTTTCATTTCTTATCGTGTCTCCAGTAGCAGAGTAAACGTAAAGTTAAAAAGTAAACTATCTCCATAAAGCTAAGTACACTGCAGCCTAGAAAGAGTCCAGCCATCCCTCCAACGGCAACTGGAAAGTAGAAAAGTTGTTTAATGTCATCGTAATCAATTAAAAAGGCATTAATTATAACAAGTCATAAATTAAAAATTTACGCCCGACCATCTTGGACCAATTTTCATTAAGCATAGCTAAGAACACTCCCGACTAATTCACCTTTCAAATAAAAAATAAATAAAATCAAAATCGGTTCATCCGTTCGGGAGCTACGATGCCATAGACAGACAAACATACACAAAGAAAAGTCAAACTTAGGTACAACACCCAGTCGCTTTTACGTTGGGGGTTGATAATATAAGCAACGAGATTTGCGTAATCTTTTCTAAAGTAACCCTTACTTGGTTTTAGTGTCTATAATTTTGAAGTACCTGCCCCGTATAACCATAACATATTTTGTAAGTTATTGATCGGAAATCAAATGGAATTTTCTAGCCGAATCTTTAACTAGGCTAATTCGTTCTGGTTAAGCATTTCCGCGGTATAAAATACTCTCTCTCTCTCTCTCTCTCTACTAATCTAATAAAAAATAGAAGTATCACATCGATTTTAGCTAGATTTTTAGATTCTAGTAGATAATTCGTAGATAACAAACAAAGCCTTTATTTTAAATTTTAATATCGGCAAAATATTACGAATATCAAAACTTTAAAATACTTACCTAATACGTCAGTGAAACCAAAAATAATATCTCGTTTGTATCTCATTCGAGGGTAAGTGACGATGCCCCACTGGAAGTTTGTACCAAGGAACCATTCTTGCACAGCCTGAATATTAAATAAATGTAAAATAAAATTTACTCATTAATTTACAATACTGATACTAAATTGCTTAGAAATGACGCATTTCCCTTTCGAATTGCGGATACAATAATAATAATAATTTTAATGTTTTTTTTTTTAAATCTGTAGATAAATAGGCAAAACAGTTCAGTACCTTCTTCTTCAATCAATCAATTTTGTTTTTTTCTGTTTCGTAGCCATTGACGAGCTTTAATGTTATCAATACAGATTTTTTTGTATAGTTTTTTTTGTATAGATAGGTGAATTCTATTCATATATGATTTCCTGTCGAACTTCAGATTTTAAACACACACTAGTACTTTTGAAGGAATAAAATACTACAACTTTTAAGTATTTATTTATTTACCAGCGACTCACCCTCGCTCCGCTCGGGTTCGTCCCTACTTACGTTTTTTAGATTTCTCAGAGATGAGATATTTTCCCGAAGTAAAAAGTATTCTATATGTTGACCCGGATAACCAGCTATCACGATACTAAATTTCATCAAAATCCCTTCAGTGGTTTTTCCGTGATGCGGTAACAGACAGACAGACAAAAATTATAAATACTATAGATTCGGCCTCTGTATCGATAATAATATCTATTTCAATAAGATTTTTTTTAAAAATATTTAATGTACAGATTTGGCTTTATTATATGTGTAGATTACTGAAGCTTTTATCTGTTTTGCACTATTATGTCATAACATAAAAAAAATAACTCACACTTGACTGTATAGTATAATTCACGTCATCACATAAGGGAAAACATTCGCATTTGACTTTCTTTCCATTTTTATCCCTTAACTTGTATAACACATCTACAAAAATGAAAGCTTAATTTTAACTATATACATATTATTTATCTCTTAGTTTATATTTTTGTCATTTTTAACCGACGAAAAAAAGGAAGAAATTCTCAATTTGACACCTATTTTCTTATGTTTGACCACGCATATCTTTTTACAGTGTTGTCCGATTCCGATGATTGTGTTTATATTAGAAAAGGTATATCTCAAAGTTGGTATCATTTGAATTTAAAAAAAACCACTCCGAATTGTTGAAAATAGAAGATGACTGAGTTTTCACCTAATGAATTTTTAAAATCCTTTTTTCCTACCTTGCTACTACTATTTCTACATTAAAAATGAAAAATAAAATTAAAAAAAAAATCGCTTCAAAAAAGCACTTAAAGCGTACAATACAACTACAATTAAACGTAAAATACAACAGTGACATAAGTCACTGTTGTATTTTACGTTTTCTTCCCCACGTTTAGAATTCTTTACGGAAACATAGTATCTTCCATGAAAAAATAGTTTCATAGATACATTTTTATTATAGAACTTTTCAGCTTGCTACTTTTCGGGTGACCAATATATAGAATACAATAGGGGCAATTCCTAGACATATGTATGTATAGTAAAATATATAATCTGCTCTGAACGGAACTCGAACCCGCGAGCTTCATCGTCAAAACTGTAATTTTCTTATAACTACAACTCCTTATTACCTTTGTACCTTCCCAAGCAGTGCAAACCCGAAACATCGCATATTTTTTCTTCACCTAGAACACGTACGTAATAATAACAATGAAACACAAATATATATTACTAAATGTAAAAATAATTTATTTATGCAATTATAATTACATTAAATATATTAAAAAAGAGTCAAAGTAGATAAATGTTTGTGTGTTAAAGTATTTTTTTTGTTTTATCACATTTTCGTTTAACCTGTTTTTGATTTAATTATTTTGATAGAATTGTTTTTTTTTTAACTTCAAGCGTAACTTCTAGGGATTTCTTCTCCTTGTCCTTTTATGTAAGGATCAAGAATCTATTTAGTTTTAGTTTCTATATATCATATTTATTAAGGAAACTTATAGATAGTCCAAGTAAGTTTATGACATTTCAGAATGGAGAAATCATATATAATTAAGATACACAAACTAAAACAGAGTCGTGGGCAAATCTTGTAAGGATATAAAGCTAGTTTTTAGCTAAAAAGTTGACGTAATAGTAATCTATACTATAATATTATAAAGAGGTAAAGTTTGTTAGTTTGTGACGTTGTAGGGGGTAATCTACCTGATCTACTAAACTGATTTAGATGAAATTTAGTAATAATATAGTTTGAGACCCTGGGAAATATATACGATACTTTTTATCCCGGAAATCAACCCTTAAAGGGGTGAAAATGGGGATGAAAGTTTGTATTGGGAGGAAAGCTAGGGACGAACCTCAGCGAAGCGAGGGTGAGTCGCTAGTATATCATATAAATATCTCACCTATTCTTCTGTAGAAATATGGTATACAATTACAATATTTCAAGCAGAGGTTCACTCTACACTCCATACGGCACATAGTGTAGGAGTATATGGAATTGTGCTTCAAAATGTTTTCATGCTGGAAACGGCATCGACGTTGAGCAATACTCAAACTGAAAAATAATTATTATGTTAAAAAAAACATTACGTCTTTCTATAAGTTGTACATAAAATATACCTACTATTTTAGTTTATATACTGTTTTTAATGTAACACTTCAGGTACATTGGACACTAATATTATTTGTAGAAATATTTTTCTTTGATTTAGAAAAAAGTTTCATTTATTTTAGTTTATGGTTCCCAAAATAGGGAAACCCAAAAACCAACATAAATTCGCAAAAATCCGAAAAGATTGATTTATTTAAAATTTCAATTACTCAGAAGACTAGGGATTATAACCTCGCTTGGTTCAGCTGCGTGTTCACTTTAGGTGTCTAACGATAGTCTATGTGTTATACCTATCACAGGCCATAATCTAAATAGATATTTACTAAATACTAAAATTCAATCAAATCCGATTTGGTTTAGCGATTCTAGCCTGAACGAGTAACAAACATACATACACTACAAACTTTTGAATTTATACTTAATCGATTCTTGACTACGAATAGAAATTATAGATACAATCGACATATTATATAAATTTAGTTTATAAAATTATATTATTAAGTTATTTTTTAGGAATATTACCTAGCTGCCTCTGGCGATGTATAAACAGTAAGTGCGGTTACATAGAGTTTCATATAAAATCTCTCCTTCGAGTGCTGGTGTTTCGTTGAGATATCCGGAACTTCTAATGGTCCATGAATGTAAGCCTACAGGTATGGGAAAAAATCTATTGTGATTTTTAATTCAATTTTTTTTGTTAATACCTTCAAAACTTACCAGTTGAGTACAGATAATACTTTCTTAGATTTACGCGAATATTTGACATTTTGAATAAAACTATCTTTTTGGATTATTTCGCGTATTTACTCGTATTTTGATTTTTGGTTCCTGACGTTTCGAATGCTTTACAGCAATCATGGTCATGAGAAAGACTAAGGTAATAGACGTCTCAAACACATATACTTGTAGCAGACAGTGTTTACCCACTATTTTACAAAAATGATTTCAAAAATTCAAAAATAGCACCAAAGTACCTTACAATATTTGTTGATTTTTATTTCTAAATAATTTAATAAGTATTGTAATTAAATATAGCAATATTATTTATTTAATTTTAGCTGTTATTATTATAAATATTACAATTTTTTAAAAACTTTATTAATTAATAATATTATTTAGTGTTGCTATTATTATAATCTTAGTCTCTCCCGTGACCATGATCGCTGTAAAGCATTCTAAACGTCAGGAACCAAAAATCTAAATAAATCCGCGAAATAATACGAAAAGATAGTTTTATTTAAGTTGAGTACAGATGTCACCTGTGTCGAACAGAATGGAGAAGACCCGAGAGAGATTGGTCTATAATATATTGTCATTTTTCTTTACTTTAGTTAATGACACCTGTCATTAGACTATAACAGTAGCAGATATTCCAGTCAACTTATCGAAGCAAAAATGTGTATCATAATGGGTTTTTATATAAAAAAAATATATTTTATTACAACAATTACTTCTATCTTACTTACATTGTATGAAGTAGTTATATTCATAACTTGTGCAAATACTTCGCCGTCCAAAGGATGGATAAAAAACATAGAGTTCTTTGAATCCACAATATCCCATCTGTTACTTGCCCTGTATCTTATAGCAATAACTGTTAATTAGCAACATAGCAAATAGACAAAGACAAAATAGTTCAGTACCTACTTCTTCTCTGTTTGCCAACCGGTTTTCTTTTTTTCATTCAGTACCTAGCTATTAATGAGCTTTATGTTATCATTAAATATTTTTTTGTGAATAGTTAGTTTTATTTTTATAAAAAATAGGTAAAGACCAAGCAGCTCAGTACCTTTTTTTTCCATTTTCTTTTTCTCTGATTTGTCAACCAATCTTTTTGTTTAGTAGCAATTGATGAGTTTTAGCTTTATTATTAATACAAAAATGATTATGGTCGAACTTCCACCATTGGGTAACTTGGCACTATATAGTATTCTTAATGAAATCAGATAGAGATGAGTAGCATATCACATCGATGGTATTAAAATTCTTAGAGATGCCGAAGAGATATAATAACTATTATGGCCTGCCCTGACTTAAACCAAAGACTGATCATACTTAATTTATGTCAATATATAAGCGAACTATTTACTTCAGACAAGAAGTGTTTTTTTTTCTAAATCTAAATAAAAGACTTACTCTGGAGAATTATAAACAGCCACCTTAGAATTGATAGCATAGCACACTCCCATCTCTGTCACAGTTGGCACTATATCTAGATTGATTCCAGAAGCACCAATAGTTAAGGTTGGTTTGAACAACATCGATAAGTTCAAAAGTATCTCTAAATATTTCTCAGGTGGTATACCATCGTATTTGGGCATCGTATCAAAGTTTTCGAAAGTTGCATTCGCTAACGCCTTGATGAAAACTTTCATTTGCTCCTTGTCTTCTTCGTTTGAAAGTCTGATGTTAAATATTATTTAAAAAAAAGTTTTTAATCAATATAACTTTTATGGAAATTCACTCTTACAGTTTTGATTAAGTGCGATTCATTCTTACGTAAAGGAAAGCTTAAGACATGGACATTTAAAGACTTAGTTCTATTTTACCTATTTTTTAAACTTTAATTGTTTAGTAGCATTACTCGAGTATATACAACAAAACAATAAATATTATATGTAAGTACCTTACGTAATTTTCCAATTTATTATTATCAATAGTACTATCAAGACAGAGTGTGACAGAAGGAAAGGTGGTATTCCACGCGAACATGTCGCGGTCCATCGATACAACAGTGGGTGAAGACTGGTAGCGCAACCAAGTTGTCCGAGATAAGTAGAGCGTACCAAAGACTGACAGGATTACTACAGATAGCCAAAGGAATCTGAAACGATATGTTAGAATTTAATAGAAATTCAGACCTTAAAAAAATATAATGTTAAATTCATCATAGTAAACTGTTTTTTTAAAACAGACTATACATAAACCATTTGGAATATATAATATTAAAAGTATATAACACACTTCCGCTCATAAACTCTATTCTGGTTTTAACGTTTAGTATAGATTACTCAGAGATGAGATATTTTCCTGCAGTAAAAAGTATCCTATAGGTTAACCCGGATAATAAGCTATCGTCATACCAAATTTTATCAAAATCTGTGTAGTGGGTTTCTCGTGATGCGGTCAAACACAAACAGACAAAAATTCTAAAAACTATAGATTCGACCTCTGCATCGATAATAATGAGTATTTCAATAAGACTTTCAAAAATATATTTATTGTACATATTAGACTCAGAATTTTATTATATGTATAGATTACTTCAACACGTTGCTACGTGAAATATTAAAGTATCAACAAACATATTAAATATTAATTGAATAATTATAAAAAAAAATGTCTGGAAGGCGTAAAAAGTGTACTTACATTTCACAGGAATGTCTCCCAATAGTAACCAAATGATTCAAACCATGGATGGAAGATGTTTCTAGGAACATAACTACATATTTCTTAGTTTTCCTCCTTACAATTTGAAACTTAGACTTCTTGACAGGTTTAGTATAACGTCGTTTTAATCGATTCAAATCATTTTTAATAAGTTGACCTTGAAAAGATCGTTCAGCATACATGTTTAATTGGAAACAAGTAATGTAAGTAAGTATGTAGAATAAGATTTTATTTATTTAAATTATATTAACAAGGGCATGAAGGAAAGTTTAAAGCCCTTCTAACACAAAGCACTTGACAAATAAAATTACTCATAAAAGCTCGAGTTCAATATAACGCGATAAACTATAAAAAAAATCAAGTTCAAGTCGACCTCATGAGGTGGGTTCCGAATAGTGTTTTTAACTGAATTTCTAAATATCTATTTTGAAAATTTAATCAATTAGTAAAAAACAATTCATGTGTGTTATACCTTCGCTGATTGTTTTTAATTAAAATAATTATTTCCTTACAAAAAAAGTCATTTACGTTTCAAACTTAATATTTTATCCCTTAATGCATATTAAAATATTATAGTATATAATTAATTTTCAAAATATTTAAGCGTCGGACGTAAATTTTTGTGTTAAAAAATCACTATTCAAACACTTGCCTCAGTGGGATAGTGGCTAGCATGTAAGGCTGTAGATCCGGAGAGCCTGGGTTCGACTCCCGGGTCGCGCCAAGTTTAACTTCTGAGTTTTTCTGTTAAGATATTTTCAGTAGTAGCCCCTGAGTTGGGAAGTTGGAAAGTGCTTGGAGAGTGCGTAAAGTTGTCGGTCCTACGCCTTAACTCTTACTGCTTGTGTCGAAATATCATCCCAACGGACTTTGAGAGAAAAAAGAATAAAGAGTGCAGTTGTGCACTATAATAACATATCCTGCGCAGTTGGCTAGTCTCAGTGAGATTGGCCGCCATGTCTGGAATCATTATTATTCTAACAATTTTCAGTAAAAAATGATCATAAATAAATTTATATGACAATCGTTTAATACAAAATTATCCTTCACAAATAAGTACATGATTGTAAAGTAATAATAATAATAATAAAAAACTCTTTATTGTACACCAAGAATAAAAGAAAAATAAATAAACACAGAATAGAAATGTACAAGAGGCGGCCTTATCGCTAAAACAGCGATCTCTTCCAGGCAACCTTTAGGCGTAGGAGATAGAAAACTGTAAGTGGGAAGGGGTGTAAATAATAGAGTAAATATATCACAATATATAAAAAAGTTGACTAGAAAAATTCATAAGTATATATGTTTATACTAATAGATACATATACATATTCTTACACAGATACACATACTTATATATACATATATAATATATATAATAAGATATAATAAAAAAATAAGAAAACAAAACAAAAGGCAAGACAGCTTACAAAGAAAGAAAAATTAAAAAAACACTTACAAGTACTTGAGATATTGACGCAAGGATCCCCAATAATTTAGATTAATTCCTTATTAATGATACGTGTCATTAAATGACATTTGTATACCATACAATAATTATCGTTCAAAAATCTGATTGCGTTTTGTTCGACAATGGGCCACAAAAAATAAAAATCCTACAATACAAACGAATATATATTATAATATTTTGTAATAACGACTGTATTCGAATATCATTAGGCGTATAATTTCGTTTCATTAAGTTTATCTTTTCTAATAATATTTGATTTTATCGGATTATAACAGTTATCGTAACAATGATTTGGTTTATTAAATATTTAATATGAAACTACATGCAACATGAAACGCGGTATTATAAGTGCTTAGGACATGCGATGCTATGTAGAACTGTCTCTGAGCTATTGAGAGATGGCCCTAGGTTTGATCTCGGCTGAGTTTAAAAAATGTTATTGAGTTTTTCTATCAAGATTCTAATAGTAACAACGTATTATAAAGCTGTAACAGTTCACCCTCGTGTCTCGAAAGGCACGTGAAACCGTACGTATTGCGTCTCATCACTTCTATGTTAAGAGAGTTTTTTAGTAACATAATGTATCTTTTTAGTACCTATAATTTATATATTCTTGTATATTTTTAGGATAATCGATGATATCATAATATTATGTTATCGGATTTTTATGTTTTAAACTAGCGGCGAACCCGAGCGAAGCGCAAAGAAGAAGCGAAACCAAACATTTCGCCGGGATAAAAAGTAGACTATTTGTTATTCTGACGTATAAACTATATTATTGCAAAGTTTCATTAAAATCCATTCAGTAGTTTTTGTGTACGAAGCTGTAAAAGTTACTATCGTTTTTAACTATCCCACGGAAACTTTAATTTTCTGGAATGAAAAGAATCTAAAATGTTGACCGAGGATATATGGTACCACCGTGCAAAATTTCATTTAAATCAGTCCAACAGTTTCGGAGATTAGCCCGTACAAACAGACAAACAGACAGAAAAGGCAAAAAAATGAAAAAAATCTGGATTTGTTCTATTTCTCTTCTTACACCCCCCTCACTTGGTTATTGACATTTTTCTATGTACAGACATTCGACCTCTACAGTTTTATTATATGTATAAATATGTTTTATAATTGGTAATTGTTCACTTCATGCTAATAATATCGATTTGAAGCTTCGTGAAAGAAAAACAAAGCAACTTACTTGCGTATAAGCATGATAGTAGTGATAATAAAAAAAATCACTACAGTCTTATAAAAAACTACTCATTTAATTTTAAGAACTGCTTTAATGTAAATTTAATGTATGTATCCATACTAATATTATAAATATGAAAATGTCATTGTTATCCCACAAGGGGATAAAATAGGAGATGAATTTTAGCGCGAGCAAAGCCGCGGGTTCTGCTAGTATTTTTATAATTTTACTGAGTAGAATATATTGACATGATCGATTATAAAAAGTCTGCTTCAATGTCTAAAAATGGTTTTTCTTTGTGTTGATAAAGCTTAAAGTACCTATCTGCACCTATTATTAGAGTTCATAAAACCAAAAATGCTAAAAATTTTAATATAGGAATACGCAATGAACCATTATAATTATCGTTTACAACAACACACATCAAACTTTTTGGTTTTAACACTACTGAAATATAATTTAAAAAAACATTCTTACGTTTCCATTTCATTATTCAAAAATGAATTCTTAGCCATATTAATAAAGACTATTATAATAGAAAATACACATTTTCACGCAACGCTAGAAAAATTATACCTTGTCATCACTTTGACGGGCTACTAACAAAAATTTTCGGTGCTCTTCCAAAATTCAAACACGCTTAACACGCTCAAAGTAGAAGATAAATGATCAGAAAAACTAAATATATTTTCGATATATCATATTTTATTTCCAAATTTTGTGAAAGGTGAAATGTGTAACATTTTAAAATTTTATAATAACAAATGATGGTCGCAGAAAGATATTTTAAAATTTAATTTTAAGCATACTTTTTGTATTATGTCATTAATTAGAGTTAATGTAGACTTAAATATTACGACCTTTAAATAATTTCTTCTTTAACCATTTTTATATAAATAAATAAATAATTATATTTTGACATTGATACACAGCACCATCTAGTTCCATGGTAAACTACGAAGCTTATGTTATGGATACCAGATAGTTGATACACTACACATATATAACTTTAAATACATACATATTATAAATATAAACACCCATGACTGAACAACAAACATTTATGCTCATCACACAAATGAATGCCCCCAGCGGGACTCGAACCCGCGACCGCTGGTTCAATAAGTAGGGTCACTACAAACTGAGCCAAACGTGGCGTCAAATAAAATTTATTACAAAAAATACAGCGTTAAAAAGTATCAAGTTATTTGTCTACGTTAGGTGTTATATGTAAAGAGATCTAGAATCTACATATGACTATCTTATCTCTTTAAAGCGTTTAATATATAAGCAATGTATTCAGCCCTTTTTAGCGTCTCACTGCTAGGCATGGGCCTCCCTTCAATATGAGGGGGATCAGGACATAGTCCAAGACCCTGATTAAGTGCGGGTTGGCGGACTTCACGTGTTTTCCGAAAACTTCCTAGGTTCTCTCAGACATGCAGGTTTCCTCACGATGTTTTTTTTTCACCGTAAGGCGAGTGGTAATCATGTTAGAAATCATTCGCACATGAAAATATCAGAGGTGCGAGACCCGGGATTTGAACCCACTTTACTCGGTTTCTCAAGCGAGTGCGTTACAACTGGATAGCCCTATGAAATTTATATAATAAACATATAAATAATTCAGTATAATAAAGTACATACGTATCGATCGTGATAAACACTTATATATTATACTAGCGATTCAACCTCGCTTCGTTCGGGTTTCCTAGGTTGATTCCTCGTACCAACTTTAATCCCCATTTTCACCCCCTTAAGGGATAATTTCCGGGATAAAACTATTCTATATCCTCTCCAAGGTCTCAAACTATCTTACCAAATTTCATCTTAATCGGCTCAGCATTTCCAGAGATTACATCCCACAAACAAACTCACAAACTTTTTAACTCTTTATGATATTAGTATAAAATAAATTTTGACAGGAATAAAAACTTATGAACACGACAAATTAAAACAACGATGCCTGAATGGAAACCAGTTGTACTAAGCCGCAGTACAAAATTCCGAATATAAAAAACCAACCCTCTTCCACCTTCTGCCCTACAGCCAATGATTAAAAACCAAAGGTAAACAACTCGTGACGCCAAGTAATAATTTAAAGTGTCATGTCGCAAAATAAATGAAGTAAAGAAAACAAATTTCATTTAAAAATCACGATGGACCATTATTTCCAGCTTCCCCTAATTAATTTCTTGTCACCGTCTGACAGGGAGCGAGATGGCGATATAAGTCGCCAAAGGAAGGTGTTTAAGGCTTATATTATCATTTTAGAATCTAAGTATTATTAATTATTAAACTTATATTACGTTAAAAATTATGTCTATCTGAAAGTGTATGTGTGTATGTTTGTTACTAACTGTAGCTGCTTAATGATTAGAATAAATATATCCTTTATTGAAATTAAGCAGTGGTAGCTCATTGGTAGCGCGTTTACTTGGAAAAGCAAGTGATGTGGGCTCAAACCCGGGTCACGCACCTCTGAGAATTTAATATGGGAGTCATTTCCAACATGCGTA